CAAGACCTTGCCCGGAAGGGTGCCTGCAAGTCTACCTACCCATGTTAAGATGAATCCAAGCTAGCTGTAGAAAGAAAAGCTGCTAACATAAGCAACAGAAGAAGCTTTTTTGAGATTAGAAGTTCGCTTGTCTAGCCAAAGGCAGAACAACCTCGTCTCTTCTCTATAAACTGCTTTAAAGGAGTGGGGTTGGGATAATACTATGTAAGGTATACAGCCAAGCTAGCGCAAATGCATACAAGCCATATGTAATCATAGTCTGGAAATCAGAATTTAATTGCCAATGTTCTGGACACGCGTCCAACAGCATTTTTTTTGTCTTAATGAGCCTAGGATGAGGCTCTGCACTCCTCAGGGTCCCTCTGCTCCAGCCATCAGTTGTCCCTGGCGGACAAGACCAAACAAACCAGAGACCTGCTCTGATTCCCACCAGGAATATCCATCACAGCTGACACTGCAACAGCCTGGAGAGGTTGCTACGGCCCCAAAAAGCACCCATGCTCCCACGTGGATGACGTAAGACGGCTCGCACCCAGGCCAGCAGCTGCAGTCGTGCGAGCTTTCCACTACCATGCCGAGCGGGGAGCTTACCTGCAATTTGCACACTGTCACTGAGCTTGCTGAAAACTGCCCGTCTCAGACTAAAATGGGAACTCACTCAGTAATATGGCCTCTCTGGACCTAATCTAATTAGCAGCAGACACGCCAAGGCTCAGAGCATTTCAGTATGAAGCAAAGCTAAGCCAGCTCTGCAGCAGCTGTAGTTGCAGGGAGCCAGACCTATCCGTGGCTGCTGAATAGCGACCAATTGCCATGCCTGGCTCACAAAGGCAGCCTGTTATGGTCTGCTGTTTGCAATCTGTACTCCTATCTGTTATTCCCAGCTGGCCACTGCATCACAGGGAGTTGCAAAACCTGGCTCTTCCTCCTCCAGCTTCCCCTCTTGCCATGCAAATAAAGCTAAGTTTTAAACAAGCCCCAGGCTGTTTTCGTAAGAACCTCCTAAAACATACATCATACATCTCTTCACCTGGCCTAACAACACTCACCACTTCCTACCTCAAGCATCACATGGATAAAATCCATTCCAGACTGCAGGACGCTTGAATATTACTGCAACAAGGCCTGTAAGACAAGCACTGTACCCTCCCCCTTTTCTTGCAGAGCCTGGTCTGAAAACAGGCAAGAGATCAATATGCACATTTAATTTGGGAATACGGCAGTCTAGCTCGTCAGGAAAATAGATGCCATCTGAAGGAGCTAGTGCTTCAGCTGGAGCAAATCAGTGTAGCTTCAGCAAAAACAAGGCATGACATCAGCTGCGCCAGCTGAGGAACTGGCTCAGCATCACTTTGCAATTAAAATATATCAAAGCATTCCTGGGTGGTGTCCTCACCTCCCTGACAGTGCATAGACATGAGAGCAAGGAATCAAGCGGCCTCGTTACACGGGCTCGAGGCTTCCTGCTTGTTTTATTTCCCAGGGATTTGTCCGCTCCGTGCTGTACCGCCTCCTCTGCTCCCAAGTGTTGCAAAGTGAAGCTGTGCCACATTTTCCAATCAGGCCATCCAAACTAGCGTTGTTTTGGACAGCAGGAAAACATAGCCACAACACATGGTCTAAAAACACCAATTGTTTGTAGCCGACCAAGTATTTGGACTAATTAGTCATCCTGTTCTGTAAAATAGCATCCAAACATCATTTTGGCAAAGCTTACATGGACACCACATCGCAGTTTGTTTAATTCTCTCAGCTGGAGTGGAAGAGGGGGAAGGAGGTGCTGTTTGTTGTCCCTATGGAAATCCATCCATGCTCATCCAAAGCGCAAGTCAGAGAAAAAACATCCATCTTCTCCAGTGTGGTAGAAATTAACGGTGCTTTCCTTCTAAAGACCTTCCATGCTTATCAGGGACTAGATGTTTTCCACCTACCTGTTTTATCACATAATGCAAAATTGCCACATCCCTTCTCAGGGAACAGTCCCAAACACTTCACATCAAGAAGAAGAGTGCCTGTGTCTGATGCCTGACATTTCTGCATTGCGCATGAAACTGTGCATCACCACCCCAGCTCCTGCCATCTCTCCAGTTACCCTCTGCACAGAGCAGCAGCAATCTGTTTGCTGTCAGCCAGTAATTCCCAGTTTACCTAAAATAAGCCATGCTGGTGCTAAAGGATTCCAGATTCCAGCTGCACTAATCACTAGCAGGGCAGGAAGGCAGGTCATTATAGTTTCCTGAAATAAAAAAGTCTGCCTAAACTCGGAAATGAAAGAAGATACTGGTAACATAACATTGATACCAGTAACATAACATTAGAGGAAACAGACAAAGCACTTGAGATGTTACAAAACAGCAGAGTTAAGGCTGCCGGTGGGTCCAATTTTGAGTCGTAACGCACTTTTCTAGCGTCCCTGGCATTGCTGGTTTTTTCCACACACAGTGAGCGATGAATGTGACTCATCTGCTCAGCACGCTTTCCCTGCCCTCTCCCCCGCCACGAACCCCCAGGCTAATTCATCAGTCCGCTATTGCGCCCCATCCCACTCCTGCACTGCCACGCGCTGCAATGTTCTGGTAGGCTTTGCTGCAGCGTTATTATGGTGCTAGAACCCTTCTGATCCTTTCCTGTAGGAACATGAAGGAATTTTTTCCTCTATTCTCTATCCGCAAAGAGCCAAAACACTCAGGCAAGAGTTGTCAAATTCTCCAGAATTTTGTTTTCCCTCCAGTTGTAAGGAAGAATTTAAAAGACTTTGCCCAAACACATTGAGTTTCCACAGCCCCCTTCATTTCAGCTGCTTTTCAAAACAATAACAACAAAAATCAAGCATTCAGATGCCAAAGGCAGGAATAGAATGACCTTAGCCACAAGTCTTTGCTTTTTCTCTCTATACTCCCTTGGCCTTCCTAGGTAAAAGTTTCCCTAAGAACAGCTAACTCAACATACAGCTACTTCCTGCAGGGTTTCCAGCCTTAAACCATCAAGGGCTGGTTACCTGCCAGAGGGAGGTTGCTGGACTCCAGCACAGCATCTCTGCAGATTTACGAACGGCACCTCTGCTGCCCAACCTCGCAGAAGTTTTCATCCTCCCTGACCTTGCAGCAGTGGTGGCAGAGGGTAAAGGCAAGGAAGGCTGACTTCTCTGCAATGGCCTCTTTTTGGGCAGCTATTTGTTTAGCTTCTCAAACATCCCCAGCCCATTAACGGCTCAGCTAATTAGAAACTCCCAAAATAATTTTTAATACCTTTTTCAATTATAAAGGGAGTTACTGCAGGTAACAGCAGATCATGGTTTCCCCCGAGGCATCTTTGTTCCTACCCGGTTTGCTGGCAGCGGATGATTCATTTCCCCTCTGCGTAACAGAATGACTGCTTTACCACTCTTCCAGCAATGGCTAGTGGTGAATAAGGCTGCTCAGCCTTATTTGAAACGATTTCTGTTCCTGTGCGTTTACAGACCACACCTGTAACACTGCGGGGCAGGAGACTAAGAACGGGCTGAAACCAAGCCAAACGTTTAGACATGACCTTAAAAAAAAAAGCAAGAATACAACATGGCCACTTGCCTGCTGCAAAGCATGGGGAGACGGAGCCCATCATAAAACACCCTATGAGCATGTCTGTACTACACATCCAAAGTGTGGGTGGGAGCTCGAAAAGGAAAAAACCCCCAAAAACACTATCTTCACACCCACACTAGCTTTCCAAGTCTCTTCCAGACAACATTAGTTACATATTTCTCTTTCCAAGCACTCACAAACCATTTTTGCTCGCATTCATCACAAGCATCTTGCAAAAAGGAATGAAACGCTTCTGGGTAAGATTACTGAGTTGGGAGAAAGTTCTGGCCGTCAGTGGACACCTCCTGTAGCCCTTCACGTAGACAGGTACGGCCTACAGCCGCTTTTAGCCTAGTTTTTGAAGAGAACGAGACATATGCAATCATACTGTTTGCAAGCATGTGCCTGTCCCAGGCTAATAGCTCAAGCCAGCTGGCCAGTTGCTCCCAGGTTTATCAGAGAGGTGAAGGTCCATCTCCTTAAAATGTGATACCCTCACTGGAAAGAAAGCAGCGTGCTGGGCTCATGTTAGGCACCAGACAATGCACATGGAAGACAGATTTTAAGTGCTTTAATCATGTAAAACACTGCAAAACCTGCTCCTCGTTAGATAACGATGTCCCTTATTCCACAAAACTATTTCCTTTCGTCCCTATGCTGCAAGGTTATTCAGTGCAACCAGTCAAGTTTCATTGCAAACGTGTAAACAATAAGATTTCCTGTCTTATTCAACTAAGGAGCAGCCAGTGCTACAGGGAAGCATTTCCTCGTGTTTCACACTTGCATTCTTTCTGTAATTTAATCCTACTATAATTCAAATTTTTATTATATTGAGTCGTTATTTTCCCTCATCGATCTTTAACGCATTCTAATGTTCGCTCTCAGGTACCGTCAGGGACCCATTAATATTAAGCTAGTTTAACGTTTCCACACCAGTCGCTGGAGTGTATTAGCACTGTTAATAATTAATATGGGAGAACTGGCATTTTAGAAGGCTGAAGTAGATCGCAACAGGCTCCGCTTGGGGGTTATGACATCAGGTTATGACATTACTGTGAGCACAGAAAGGGAGAAACAACAAAGAACAGGAGGACACCTAGAGAAAGTGTTTCCCTTCAAAGCCAATCCTTTGCAATTCACTGCTCGCCCATTGTTCCTGCGAAAACCTTAAACTTGTAATCTCTTGTTTGCGTTAACAGAACAGGTAGGGCAAGTACTTTTGAGAGGGGTTGCAACAGGCTCAGACGCGTTTGTCCTCGTGAGTAAAAAAGGCGATTTAAGCCAGGAAGAACATTCCTCCTATGGAGCACAGGGAAGGAGAAGGCAGAGGAGATGAGCTCCAGCATATGGCAGTGCACAACTGAAGTGGAGGTAGGATGGGAAAAGCTGGAAAAAGAAAGAAAAGTCAGCTGCCACCTGGCAAGGGCCACTATCCCAATGCATCAAAGAGAGCTGCTTGTCCCTGGCTTCTCCGACAGAGCATCCACCGTGACGGGCTCCAGCCAAGGAGCAGGACAGCCCAGCTGCAAGGGCTGCTGGATGGAGCGCATTGTAGCCCTTGCCTCCAACGAGAGGGGAGGCCAGCTGCGGCGTTCGCAAGCCCGCGGCAGCTCCCAGCTCGGAGCCGGCCTTTGTGCTGGTGCCGAGTCCTTCTGCGTTCAGCACGAGTTTGCACACTGAATTACTGTGAGCGGTCCCAGTGGGTTGGTCATGTCTACCCTAGCACGTAATATACCTGTCAACAAGCGGTTTAAAGCAATAACAACCTAAACTAAGCCTTTGTCAACGCGGTTGAGAAGATCTGCTTAGACGCTGGCTTTCTGCTGTACCATGGTATTTTTAAGAGCACCTTAAATGTGATTTGGTAGAGAAGCCCATTTACAGGTCGTAAATATAGTTTGCTGCTACCTCTTGGGGGAGCAAGGGTTTTGAATTCACTCTGCTTACCTTTTCCTGTGGTTTCAGATGTTTCTTTGCAAAACAAATAGGGTTTTAAAAATAGAAGAGCCTCAGCCCATTTCTGAGGCTTTGCATCTGCTGGGCCCCGACGTGGGCTCGCTCTGCCGGAGCGCTGCCAGGCTCTCTGCACCCGTACGTGGCAGCTCAGCACCCTGCAGGGTCAAGGCCGCAAACAGACCCTGATCAGTTAGCTCATTTATAGCAATCCTGGCGAAACCAAAATAGTTATCCCAAAGGCAGGGCACGCTATATATACGCGGACACAAGTGACCCGTTCCTTTGAAGCTGGCAGGGCAGAGAGACGAGATGTCTGTCCTACAGCTGGTCTAAAAGCCAAAATCACTTGGGCAAGGTCAGAAGGAAAGCCGCATTTCTGCGACCGTTAATTCTGGCTCCTGCACGGCCATCACCAGCTGTCTCAATCTGACCATAACCTCTCATCTCTCCAGCTAGCCAGAGCTCACAAGAGCTGGCTCTGCAGCAGTGTCCAGACAACAGGCTACACTTGGTCTCCAAAAGTCTGACGTTGCAAAGGCAGCCCATCAGGGCCTATATTTAGTAGCCTGAACCAGCAGAGAGTTTACACTAGGTCAGCAGCGGCCACAGGGCTCTCAGCACAGCCCAGAGCCCTAAAGCCAACGGGTTGTGCTGCCAAACCACGGCATAAGACAACATTGGGATTCAGACGCCGTCAAATGCGCATCCTGTACTTTTTAAAATATCTGCATGTGCATACACATGCATTGTAGGCGTCCAGCTTCCCAAATAAAGCAAACAAGGGTTTGCAGGTCACTATCTGCCAGGCTCATACCGCTATACCCACGTTGCTGCAACTGCAGTCTGTACAGGCGCAGCTTTAAAGCACCTCTAGCAATTCCCAGGCTCTCAGGTTTAGCCTCTAGTGCTAAAGCCAGTTTCACAAAGCCCTTCCAGTGCAAATAACACAATACTGATGCCTCTCCACATTCCCCAGCAGCGAGAAAGGAAAACCCACTTGCACTTTCAGACATTTCCTCCAGACTGGCACAGAGCAAGATGCAACACAGACTGCAGCGCTCACAGCGTAAACCAGGCAGCTGAAACGCACTCGGGGATTTGTGGTTGTTCTGTATCAGATTAGCAAAATTCACCAGTGAGTCAGGGCTGGGATGTGAGCAGAAAACAAGGACCGGGAGGTGCTTGGGCAAGCGGCATGAACAGCGCTCCAGGGTTGCTGGGGCTGCAGCCATGCCCTCGGGGCACAGCATTAAAAGGAGATGACATGGGAAAGAGAGTGTCAGAAGAAAACTTGTTAGAGTCTTGGTTTTCAGCTCAAGGCAGTGCCCTTGTTACTGGGCTCCACTGCCTTTTCAACCCAAAACTTCTTTGTTTAAAAAAGTTCCCAGCAAGGGGTGATTCATGCTGCTATGTCAATGAGCTAATGCTTCCTCACAGCAGGCAGCGTCAGGAAGGACCGACTGCTACACAGCCACCCAAAAGGAGTGCTCCAGGAGCTCCCAAACTACTCCAGAAAGCTCAGGATCCTCGTGCCTCCTTCTACACAGCAAAACAGTGAGGGGGAAGGAGACTTGCACAAAGTTGCCAGCAGACAGGCCAGCTGCAGAACCAGAAATAAGAGATTATTGGAATTATTCTTACATGTTTACTCTGTAGGAGCTTTACTGTGACCTATTTTGCTATTCCTGTGCACTACTGAACTGTTTCAATTTCCTTCAGTCAAAATCAAAGAGAATTGCCAAGAATGGAGCAACAGGAGAACAGATACAGGTAGTTTCTAAGAGCTCAGGCCATACTGGGCTAGACTATCTGAGCCATACCACCCCTGTGGCCAAGCCTGTGCTACCAAGTCTTGTAGTGTAAGTAGAAGCAAGCATGAAATGAAACACAATCCCTAACCTCAGGAAAACCACCAAAGGCCAGTTTTTAGCCAGTGAAGTTTATTTTGGGTAAGAAACTCAAACCTGCTACCCTGCACAGACAGTCGAGCAAAGGCACACGCCTAGCGGAGATGCTTTATGCTTGTCACACCCTGGGGGCTCTGCTGGTCCAGTTTAGATGTAGCCAGAGTCTTTATTTGCAAACCAGTTGCTGCCGAAAGAGGGCTGATCCTTCATCGGGGACAGCAGGACATTTGGACAGCTGGACCAAGAGCTCCAGCTTCCTAACAGTGCAGTAGTGTTCATTGTAAAATCCTGGGAAGCAGCTCTGCTGTGAGAGCATCTGAAAAAAACAATTGTGAAGGTTTAGGTCCTGTCTGGAGAAGAGAGCCCTGCCAAACTGGTTGTAGTCTTGTTCCAAGTTACTGGGGGGGATGCAAATCTGGAGGAAGAGATGCTAAGCCAGACCTCAGCCTACCTCTCCTGTCACCCTTACTGCCTGCTGCTCAGCTTCAGAAATGAGCCTCAGGAGCAGATATTCCTGTGGTCTTCAATCACAGATGAGCTGTGCCCTCTAGTGGGGCCTGGTTCATGCAGAGCCAGAGAAGGGCCTGTCCAGGAAGCCTACGTCCCAGGCCACTCAAGGGGCTCAGTCCCCCCAGCTCTAAAGGCCTCATGAGCATCTACCCCGGCCAGGCCCACAGCAGCTTGTGCAGGTGCCTCACTTAAACCATTTCATTTTAACACAAGCATGACAACATAAGCATCCACCACTAAGCACCTGCCTGGACAGATGACACTAACACAAGAAAAATCAGAGCGTAAGACTGATGTTTATACAGCAGAGCAAATTGGAAACTCAGTTTCTCTTAGCAGGTACAAAGCAATTCTTTCATAAGGCCTCATAAAGCCTTCCAGCCAAGATTGAAAGCCTAGTTTTCTGTCCCAAATTAAGTGCCTGGTTTAGGGGTGAGACGATAACCATAATAGTGAGGTCCGAAAGGAGAGGGTGAATGGAACCAGACCATCTTTCAGCATCGCTCATGGGCAAGACACTCAAATAGCGGTACAGGTATAAGATCCTTGCAGATGAGGAACATACCTTCCAGAATAAAAACCAATTTTGATACTGATTCAAATCCCCTTGGCCAACAAGCATCCTGACTATATCAGCACAAGCAGGCTCTTCCTTGGAGCCACCCGGCCCTATGCATGTGATGGGGATGTGAATGGTTTAAGCTGGGGTTGCTGCAGGATGCTTCCCAACAGCCTGTTTCTGCCTACACCCAGAAAACACCGTTCCACCCCTGCCTTATGCCAACATGACCATTCATGGGGTCACACTGAGAGCCCCACCGGGGAACTGATCTACCCAAAGACCTGGAGAAAATACTGCTTTCAGCCAGCTCACTGCACAGCACAGCCTTATAACGCAACTTATGGGAGAGGGATGGGAGCACCTACACTGCACAGACGGTTCAGGTTTGCAGAGGGTTGGTAGGACTCTTTAAAGGATCCCTAAATCCTGTTCTAGCCTCTACCTAAAGCTGATGAGAAAGGCTCAGAAAGGTAATGCTTTCATTCCCTCTGGCAAAACAGCTGCACACAGGATAAGATCTGCTCTCAGGCTAGACATGGACCCTGGCCCACCAAAAGCATAAAAGCTGCAACTTCAAACCTGTTCGGCTACGTCCGTGCAAATCTGCGCACAGGCCCGCTCCCTTGTGAGGGGAACTGAGCTCTCATTTGTCTCGCCGACCAAGTCTGCTCATGCAGATTCAGGGGAACTGGTGCCAACTGATGGGAAGACCATTCTCACACGGCCTCGGCAATGCTTTGGCACCTACAAAGGGCATCACAGCGTAGAAATGGGAAGTAAGGCATCTCCAGCAAGTCGGACCGTAGAAGTCACAAGACACGCTCTTCAGAGTTTGTTTCCCTTCCGTAAGAGTCAGCGCTTGAAGGAAAGGCATTAAGCAGGAGACTATCGATAAAAATACTAAAGTTACTTTCATTTAGGTTTTTAATTGCTTGCAGATCTTCCTGTTTGTTCTCGCTCCAAACCAGTTATCCCAACATATCAAGATGTGGTGCTTTTTCCCCTGATTAAGATATAAGAGCTCTAACACAACAGCCTTCGACAAAGCAGCCAGCCCCAGCCACCTCTGGCAACTATTATTTTAATTAAAAGGCAATAAAGGGTTATTCCCCCCCCAACGCATCAAGGGGGAACAGTAGGGCTGGCCTCAAGGTCCTACCAGTCCCATGCAAGCAGCAGGTGCTGCACCCAAGATCATCCCTTACCCATCACTAACCGAGGTCAGCACCAACTCGTCCATGCTCGCAGCCAGCGCAAAAGTGCCGTCACAGAGGTCTCCTCAGACGTCCCCACTGGGGCTGCCACGGGTTATCGCTGCCTTATTTCCATAGCTGGCTCCGCTTGGCTATTTGATAACCCAAATTTTACCTCGAGAAACATTGCCTTGAGTGCTACACAACTCTAACCTTGCAGGTGTGCGTTGAAGTGACTTTCCAGTTCAGGGTTTTGTGTCCCTGAGTAACCTGCGCTTAAGTGAGCCCTCAAAGCAGCCGCTCCCGCCTGCTAACACTGCCAAGAGCTTTCACAGGTGAGGAGGAAGAGGCTTGCAAAAACAAATACCTACCTTAAGCCTGATGCCCACAAAAGCCAACTGGGGAGTTTGGTGCGTGACCACTATTGGGGTGGGTGGATGGGGAATAAAGAAAACTATAAACCAGAAAAACCCACTAAATCCAAAAGAACCTAAAAATCACATTGAAAAGCTTCGAGGTTAGATGCTGCTGGCTTCGGAGACAGACTTGCACAGGCAGGAAGAGGGCCCTGCTTTTTCTGAGAAGCTGCCTAGCTGTGGGGGTTGCTACCCAAATTCAGCAGAGGTGTTAAATGACTGTAGAAGCTGGGAGCTTCTGGTTTAGAAAGGCTTAAACATTGGTATCCCAGGAAATTAAATGAAATCTTAAATACCGCTTCTCAATGGCTTCATTCCAACAGGTATACTACTTTTTTTTTTAAAATTAGCATCCAGGTACCAGGTTTAAAATCAGGCTCTTCCCCCACATCCCTCACCAAGGTTGACAACAACATAGAGATATTATTTGACTGAGTGGTAAAAGACAAGTCCTTGCTGTTGCATTCCAGCCTCCTCATGCCTTTTTTTTCCATTGCTAATGATTATGCCCATAAAACATCAGTTTGAAAGGATGCTCCTTAGATAAAGTCCCCCTTTTTTCCTGCTAATTGTAAACAACTGGGGCACACTGAGCAACAGCTCGGTCAGGCTCCAGCCTGGGGGTGATCAGGCCAGTGAGTTCAAGTGCAGTACCACTGATCACATGCTTGAGTGTTAATCCAGCAAGCAGATTACTTTGCGCTGGTTTACACCAAGCCAGCAGCCTCCATAGGGAAAGGTGGTATATGCTGGTCAGAGCTGTCTCGGTGCAGCTTCACAACCCATTGCCTCCAGGGAGGAAAAGTTCAAGCAGGAGACTAGGGACACCTGTCCCCAAAACACCATCCCTTGGGTTCAAAAATGCTTAGCCCTCAAGCAGCATGTGAGGAATGACCTTAATCACAGCTGTTTCAGTACTAACCTTCTTGGCGAGTTTGAGGCCAGCCAAGCCTGCCCTTGCCTAGAAGCAGATAGTCACAAAAATGTTAAACAGCCTCTAGAGGCTAAATCTGCCAACAGGATTTTTTACAGGTGGTCAAAGAGAAACACCTGTCTAGGCTGATCTTCTCCAGCTCTTCACATTGAACTGTGCAGGTCCACCATACTGGGTTTGACTTTCCCTTCATCATGGCATGGCCTTTAGGTATCATCTGCAACACCTCAGCTATTCCCATCCACCCCCAAAACAGGAGGTCACCCCCCAAAAGGCACTCCAGGACCTCCGATAACCACTGCCAAGGCTCCCACCAGCAGGATCCCCCATCAGCCCTTGGCCACCAAGCATGAGGTTTTACTCTGTAAACTCCACTTTCAGCAAAAAAGGAACAATTTCCTCTAAATCCTCGTTTTCCCTCAAATTGGACCCAGTTGCTTGTTTTGCTTGACTGCCATTCTCCTCCAAAAACAGGGGGGACTCATGCCCTCCCTCTTAGCAGACTTTGGCAAAACTCCCTGTTTGCTAGTACAGAGCCTGCAAGGACATTTCCATCAGTTGCAGGAAGCTTTTTTGTGTGTCAATGCACTCTTCTAGGGTTGAATTAAGACAGCTTTCAGGTGTGCTTTGAGAAGCAGCTGAGTGAAAGAGTCAACAGTGAAGTTTAAAAGCCAAGCAACCCTCAGGTGTTTTTGTGCTGCTTCTTACTTCCATATAGTTTTACAGAATATTAACTATGGTAGCTAGCATAACTGCCCAGAAAGCATAGCATAATTGTATTTCCAGTCCTAAAAGAGGCAAAAGTACATTAAAAATACCACAGATAAATACTGCCAGACTCTGCGCAGTCCTTTCCTCAGTCCTTGGAAAAGCATGTTTACCAGGAAGAGAAGGAACGAAGTTGCAGTCAAGGCAGGGCAGGAAAAATCCCATTGCTCATTTGGCCGAAGAATTTTTGATCGAGGCATTTTGTGGGCAACAGGGCAATTTCATCCTTTGACTGGATATTTCAGAGAAGAGGCACCCATAGGAAACAGCATAAAAGCAGCCGGCAGAAGGAGCAGGGGGGACACAGCTCTCCCTAGCCAGAAACAGGCACAGCGTTTCAGCACTCCTGCCCACAACAAGGCAACAAATCTTCTCTACTCCTGCCCACAACAAGGCAACAAATCCCCCCACGGAGGGGACAGATCCTCCGCAGTGCCCTGCTAGCAGCACATGTCTCTGGCATCCTCTAGGCAAGCAGCCCACCTGAGCTCACCTGCAGCTTTCCTTTACTTCTCCTAGTATAACTGTTGTCCAAGTCCCATAAGAAGTGCATCACATCAGAACTTTTTCCCCCCTGCCCCAATCCTGATGCGTTGCAGACCAGGCTGCCTCCAGCATTGGGACTGTGGGGGAGGATGGGCGTTCAAGAGCAAATCATATCCATAGGTACTCTTCCCTCTGCCATCAACTCTCTCCAACCTGTCCTTAAAACTGGATAAACCCAATAGAATCTCATCTACACCCAAGAAAGTCTCTTGCGTCAAGTTTCTACCTAAATATCTCCCCCCTCTGGCTGTAACTAGTAATTGAGACAGTGGCAGACAGAGGTATTAAAGTTAATTCAGGATACCGACAGTTTTAGCTCTCCTGTTTAAAGAAACCCCTGCTTGCCTGATTGCCACCAGTAGCAACTTCACATAGGAGGCTCAGCTGAGGGACCGAGGAATCACAGCAGGTCCATTTTGAACAGAGCTGGCTCCCTTGCCGGGCAGGACACAGAGAGCAACACCCAAAGTGGTGCCTGACACCTCCCTGGGCAGCATTCACCCCACCTACATCTACAAGGTGGTCCTCCTGGGGAGGATGTCGGTGGGGAAGTCGAGCCTTACCTATTGCTACATGAAAAATGGCTTCAAGGAATCGCTGCCCACCATGGGATGCGAGTGAGTGGCTTCAGTGGATGGATGGCTCTGCACAGGAGCACAGAGCCAGTGCATGTCCCTTGGACAGCATGTGATGCAGGAGCAGCTGTTGGTGCACCCAGCAAGAGCACAGACCCCCTTGTGAAAAAGGCAGGGACTTGACCCAAAGCCAAATCTCTCCCTTTGCTTTCACGCAGGAGCTCCAGCTCTCTGCGATTCCTTTTCCTCCACACCGTGCAGTGAGCAAAGCCAGGTCCAGATAGCACAGCTTTGCTGTGGCCCTGCTTTTTGAGGGCAGGTTGACAGTAAAGCGAGGAAACCTGCAATTCAAACTCTACAGTCCTATCTGCCCTTTGCACGCTTGCTCCAGTGCTGTCCCTGACAGCTCTCTGGACACCCCCGGAGAGCCTCCCCTATCCGCGTGCTTCCCCCAGGCTGGTGGTGGGGCTCAGCGACCCTCCAGAGCAGGAACATCTGCCATTTATCTTTGTTTCAGGCTCCCAAAGCCGTGCTCCAACCAAGCTGCCCCTGGCCCGAGGTGCTTTCTGAGCCTTTGCTCAGCCACACACCGGTGCAGAGCTCTGCACTGCTTCCGTGTGTTGAACCCCAGACCATCAACAAAGGGTAGAGGTGCAGCAACTTTTCTCCCTTCCTTCAAGTCTGAGACCTGGTCTGCCAGGTTCCTTTTATACATATGCGGTTTGGGTAGGAAGCAGCAAATACGTAGAACTTCAGTGATGTGGTGCCAGGCCTGGAGATGCCCATGTCTTGCAGTGATGCCAGGTAGCATCAGCCTACTCCCCACCACCAAGCATCTCCTAGCCAGACAGCAGAAGCTTATTAGATGATCCAGCTACCTTTGCTGAGTTGGATGCACTTCAGGAGCAGACAGAGAAGACGCTGCAAGCAAGACACACACATGCATGTGCAAGTTCATGGCTAGAAGAAAGCCATCCCAAGAGCTGCGAGCACCCTGCTCCAGCTTTAACCTCTCTGAGCTACATGCACACTACAATCAGGAATTAGGCATTTTGCACATTTGTTTTGCACAACACCCCTGGATTCTGAGTGGGCCCCTAGGGAGGCGAGGCAGGCACAGAGGTCAAGGACCACATGTCTCACCTGCAGGTTCATTCCTCACCCAGACGCTCTGCCTAGAGGCCACCACCATCAAGTTTGAGATCTTGGACACGGTGGGCCAGGAGAAGTACCCACAGCGTCTGCCACCTCTACTATTGGGGCGCTCGTGCCGCCCTCCTCGTGTACAACATCTCTAGGAAGGTGAGCAGCCACAGAGGCCTCACTGTGGGCTCCTGCCAAAGCAGCCGGGTGCTTCTGCCAGGCGTTTTAGTCCGTCTCTGCAGGAAACACTGGCTGGGGCCAAGCTGGAGGAGGAGTTCCTCCCTGACGAGATCACGAGAGCCTTGGTGGACAACAAGATGGATCTCGTGGCAGAGTGAGATGCCACAACGGAGGTGAGCCCCACTGGGCCGGCATGCAGTGTTCGGCCAGTGGCTCCGCCTGCCCCCCCACCCCACATCAGTGAGCGTTAAGAGGCATCCTAACACATGGTTTTAAGAGGACTCCATCAACCTCCCTCAATGCAATCCAAGCAGGCTAAATTAACCCAAGGATAGACCTGCAATGAAAATTTAGGCCAGCTCTTTCAGTGTTGCCCTTTGCCCTCTCCCACCCTCCAGCAACATTGACTGGTACCTATGTCCACACAGAGCTGCCAGTGCAGGCTGCTGGGCTCCTTGCTCCCTTACAGGGGACAGCACTGTGTCCAGGAAGATAGGGACATTAAAACAGCTCCAGATGCTTGTTTTAAAGAAGGGGTTTTCTCCTCAAGGTCATCACAGGGCTACTGCAGCCAGAAACACAGGAACACTCCTGTTAAGCCACATCCAGGCACAAGTGGACTGATGAGCAGATTGACAAGCTCCCTAACACAAGCCACACTGGCACAAGGCAGTTTGGAGGCTCAAGGCCAGCTCAGGGCCACTAATCCTGGGTGGTTTTTTTGTTTTAAGTAGTTATTTCTTGAATCCACATCATAGCAGGGCAGCAGTTTCACATTGCCAGCAGCACAGCTGAAGCTGATGCTCAACAGCTTCCCAATGAAGTCTCAGCCCTGGACCAAAGCAGATGCTGAGCACCATGACAATGCTGAGCAGAAAAGCACACCCAGCACATCCTCCCCTTTCTACACCACCCCAACGTTAGCAAGAACCTTCCCAAATCACTACAAGGGCAAAAGTACTCATTTTGATAGAGCAGGATGCTTTCACACTTCTTCCCCTCCCACCAAAAAAAGCACCCTTTGAATATAACACTCACCCTGAATTTCCCTTGGAACATCACTTGGGGCCCACTTCAGCCAGGCCAAAAGCCCCCCCCAGCACAAGCAGCACCCACCTACTCAGTGCACCTCAGGGTGGCAAGGAGCAAGGCAGCACCCTAGACTCTCCCCAGTAAGAAAGCAGAGCTGCTGCTGCTCCTTCCTGCTTAAATCCCAGTTCGTTAGGGCCGCCTGTGCTAATTGGCAGCTCATCAGCTGCTATTAACCCTTCATTTGCCAGCGGTGCAGGATTGGGCTTGCTCCCAGCTAGAGCCTGCTTTTGCCCTTGCCCCTGAATTACAGAGGGCAGGAGTAGCAGGTAAAATAACTCGTCTAGCTCTTAGGGCACAGCTTGGGAGGTGAGATGTGGGGACGTGACGGAGGGCAGCAGCGCGGGGCCTGGTTCAAGGAGGAACCCCCCGTCCTGCCCTCCCAATCCAGCAGCAAGTCCTGAACTTCATAAGCCGTCAGGGACAGAAAAATCAGGCTTTTGGGGTCGGTGGGAGGCACGGGGTGTGAGAATTAAGCCTCTCCGGGGCTTTGCCAGAGGTGGCTGGGCCAGATGTGCGCAGCCTGCTGCCCAGCTGTGCCAGGGCCGCAATCACAGCCAGGCACTCGCCAGCGCCAGGCGTCCGGCTGGGGTGCTGGCGGGGCTTCGCAGGGTTTCTGAACCCAGGCTATGAAATAGGGGATGTTGCCCGGCAAGCAGGAGGTTTGTGGGGATCTAGAGGATATACCTGGAAAAGAAGACCCTTGAGGGCTTGGGTTTTTTGAGGGGGGGGGGT